GAGAGAGAGAGAGAGAGAGAGAGAGAGAGAGAGAGAGAGAGAGAGAGAGAGAGAGAGAGAGAGAGAGAGAGAGAGAGAGAGAGAGAGGAGCTGAGGATACTTGGGTTGCAGCCAGCTGATGACGCGAATTTCAACAGAGAGTGTAGGCAGCTAAGGGAGGTAGGAGGCAGAGAGAACAAGTGTGAAAAGGAGATTGAAAGGTGGGGAGGAAGGACGGCAGCAGCAAGGTAGATATTAGTACTAATAGACTAGAGCTTCCGCATGGTATAGAGGCAGGTAGGAGGCAGAGGGAAACATCTGGAGAAACAGAAAAAGAAAACAGAGTCTATCATCTTGCTGAAGCTCTAGTTTTTGAGGGAGTGCGGACATCAGAGAAAAAAAAACAGACAGTCTATCTTGCTGGGTGGAAGGTGAAGCGGAAGGGCCGACATCAGGAAAAAAAAAAAGAAAAAAAAAAGAAGGGGGAGTGGGACACCACCACACCAGCGCGACACCAACTTGAGGGCAGATAGTGATCGAATCATCATATATATACGATATATACGATATATACGATATATTAAAAGTATTATGAAGTGTATAAACCGGAGATTCTGACGACTGAAGGAGGGACTGTTTTCAAATTGTGATTTGTTGTAATCTGAAGGACGGAGTTCAAACTGTAAATTTCAAATTTCAAATTTCAAATTGTTAAATTTTCTTTCTTTATATAGTAATTTCAACAACTGGTTAATCCATCATCATGGAGTGGGCCAGTCTGCTGAATGTAGTGTGGGCCGTTGTCCCATTTTACGTGGGCATTTTGATAGGGTACCTTTCGGTTATAAAGTGGGGTATCTTAACAAAGGGGCACTACGACGGGTTGAACAACCTTAATTCCGCCTTCGTGATCCCTGCGTACTGTTTTCTTATCCTTGCAACGGCAGACATGTACAAAATGAACCTGGTCTTTTTGATTGGTGATACGGTCGCAAAGGCTGTGTTTATAGTAGTGCTAGGCCTGGGCGTGTGGGCTTTTACAAGAAAAGACACTTTCGCTGTACAGTTCGGTTGGTGGGTGACTACAATTATGCTGGTCACTGTGCCCAATACCGTCATCATTGGATTCCCGCTGATGGACGCAATGTACGGCTCAGATGCAATCTCGCTCGCTGCCCAGATCATCATCGTGCAGGCGGTATTTTGGTTCCCGCTATGTAATGTCTTGTGTCAGATATGTCAGGCATTGCAGAAGGGAGGGGGAGGGGGAGGGGGAGGGGAAGAAAAACTGGCGGCAGCAGCAGCGGCGGCCGCGGCCGTGGACTGCAATTATAGCACGAACTTCAAGAAGAATGCATTGCTGCCGCCACGTGGCACAATGGGAATAATGGCGGGAGGAGCCAAGGGGGTGACGATCACGGGGCCTGAAAAAGCGCGGGATGATCGGCACGTGGATCTCCAAAAAGGAGGCTCCGAAATGGCGGGAAAGAAGTTGGTGAGCTCGGAGGCGGGGTTGGCGGGAAACACATCCGACGCGGGGAAATGTAATCTGGAAGAAGACTCCGAGGTGGGGGCGGGAAAAACGTTGGGGAGTTTGGGAGTGGTGGTGGCGGGGGCGGGAAAGACGTCGGGGGTGGATTGGGAAGGGTGGGGCTTGGATAAGAGAGGTGAATCAGATGATTCTGAAGTGGGTCGTCGATTCGAGTTTGAAAACGGAAGTCCCTCTTTGATGACAGGATGGAACTTGGAAACAGTGCACTGCCAGGTCATCAGTCCCGCAGGACCCGCAGCCATGGCCGTACAGAGGGAAGCGTCGCTGAAGCACCTGGACCTGGACGGGCAGAACGGGGTCGCAACGGCAGATCCCGACGGGTCGGCATCGTATCTCCAACCTGCACAGAATGAAAGCAAGGCTATGGCGACAGCTGACTTGGAGTATAACTTCTTCATCTCTAACCACAGGGAAGCTTCTATGGATGACGAGCACGGTTCTTGCCCTTGGGCTTGTACTCAAACTGAGGCCCAGTGGAACGATCTGGCAAATACTCAGACTCAGAGTCACAGTCAGAGTCAGAGTCCGAGTCCGAGTCGGACTCAGAGTCATCAGAGCCGGGTTGCCGACGATGAAACGGATTCTGGAGTGATATGCAACAGAGGATGTGTTCCTGGTAAGTACTTCCCAAAAGAAAAGAAAAAACGAGGGGGGGGGGGGGTTGGGGGGGGGGGTTAGGGGGGAAAGTAGCTCGTAGCATTATTTCTGTTGATTGGATTGGAATTTGGAACTAAATGATGACAAGGGGCCTAGTTGCAGTACTCCCCATCCGCCAAGATTTTGAATGCATCTGGACAGACGGGACGTCCGCATGCATTCGGAAAAAAAAGGTTGGGGGATGTCGAGTGAGTGGTGCAACTAGGTAGGTCCACGATCTGTTCATCAAGTTGAACGCTTAAGCCACCATTACAGTAACTTACTTCCTGAAGTCGTGCCCGTTAGTTAACAAGCCACACAATGATAGGAAACGTACGGGACACTACAGGAGCGCCCAAATTCATCCGACTAGAAACGTTTCTACTCTATTCTTTTCCGCGGCCGATAGCTGGGCCAAGTACTAGCGTGTTTTTTTTTTTTGTTTGTTTTTTTTTCTGTTTTTTTTTTTGTTTTTTTTTGTGTGGACCATTTCTCGATTTATGCGTGTCATCCTTGCGCAGGGGCCATGCTAATCTTTATTCTCTGTATCGTTCCAATTTAACGGATGTCCCGAAGGACATACTAGCGGTTTAATACATGTGTGTACCAATCAACCACGAAAAAAGAAAACGCAAAAAAAAACACAAAAAAAAACACGAAAAAAAAACACGAAAAAACACACATCAAATGATATGGCTTTGGCCGTAATTGCAGTCAGATGCATTTTGGAAAGTGCTAGTGTGAGTATCACCCAACCACACCAACTAAAAATAAAATTGGAGCGGATGTGGTTGATCAACGGTTGGTACATGTGTGTAGCATTCCCCCAAATCGGCTCCAATTTGATTTATTTTATTTTTTCACGAAAAGGCTCTGCTCATTTTATAACTCCATTTCAGTAGTACTTTTTTTCTTTCTTTCCCCCTTGAATAATCAGGGCGTTGGAGTCCCGGGGCGAGGTCCCACTACAGTAGCAGAGAGGATTGAATTGAAAGCCTGAATGTGGACGAGTTTGCGGAGAGGTGGGGAAAACCGCGATTCATCTGCTTTTTTTTTTTTCGCATCTCTGCATTTAAAATTTTAAATGCGTCCCGGTTCAGATCGTTGATCCAATGATCCTTTTTTTTTTGCTAGTCGGACCCCAATCAGCTGAAATATGATGAATTTGATCGTCATCATAGTCATAACCCCTTTGACCTTCCGTTGAGGCCGAAGGCCAAATTTAAGGACCCCTTGAGCAGCATCGCCATTGACTGATTGCTGCTTGAACAGGAAGATTGAGTGAGGAGATGGTCACACGAGCAATTTCCAAAATGCATCTGACTGCAATTACAACCAGACGATGCAAAAAAAAAAAAAAAAAAAAAAAAAAAAAAAAAAAAAAACAAAAACAAAAAAAAAACACGAGGTCTTGCAGTATTATGATGAGTATGCTCGGACTGTCGGGCGGGCCTTGCTTTCTTTCTCCGACTGCTCTCAGCAGTCCCACTGGAATCTTTCTTGGGTCCCATCAAATTGGCATGACCAACTGGAACCTTTTAAAGGGGTCTCATCAACTGAAGATGGGACCGCTTGGCCCACTGGAAGTTTTCTAGGGTCCCACCAAATTGGAATGAAAAAGTGGAAACTTCAGTGACAGGAACAAAAAATCTCTCAATTTCACCTATCTATCAGTGATAGGTAGGGCATGAGGGGTGAAATTGACCTACCTATCACTACTCCTAAGCCTATGCAAGGGACCTCTCAGCTAGTTTTGCCTCCAGCATAAACAAATGATCTCTTTCCAGCAAATAATGAACAGTTTTCAGTGTTTTGTACAAAAAAGAAAAAAGAACGAAAAGAAAAAGGTTTTTCCTGTCATTTCACACAAACCGAGAGAAGAGACTTTCTGTGAAAAAATTCTGTCGATAATGCTGTGATGGCCATTGGCCAGCAGAGAAAACCTGGAAGCACTCCAAAGCAGAAAAAAAGTCTCACAATAAACTCTGCTTCCTCGGCCTATAGAATGCCCGGCATTGCCCGCGCATTCTAATCGCGTGAAGAAGGTGAAAAAGGTAGATCATACCTGAAATGTCAAGGTCATTGTCACTGTATCTAGACTGAAGTTGCCCGAGATATTAGCTATAATGACCATGCCCGCAGCTCTCTACTCGCGTGAAGAGAGTAGGTCATACCTTCAATGGCGCTGTTATTATTTGTGTATGTAGACTGAAAGTTGCCCCCAAATACAGCTCTAATGACCTTGCATTAACCTGCAATGTCACGTTTATGATTGCTGGATGTGAACTGAAAGTTGCTCCATATACGGCTTTTTTTAATTATTAATGACCGTGTCTTCTACTTGACAGTGTGTGAAGACGAACACGTACTAGGTCAACACCTCCAATTATGACAGATTGGACCGAATGTGAACTCAAACTGAGTCCTTACTTAAGTCACCTAAATACTCCTACTTTTTGCCTAGCTGGAACAAATTGGATTTGCCGGTTGGGCCGTTTCTATTTATAGTTTTTTCAACTTTTTTGGGAGTTTCTATTCATATATTTTTTGGGAGTTGTCACAGCTGGGGATGACATGAAGGTACCTGTAATTACCCCCCCCCCCCAACCCAAAAAAAGAAGGTTGTACCTGTAACTTGGCTGTAAGGCTGTGAGACAAAGCGATCGAGCAGCCTAGCTCAGTTGGTTAGGACCATTAGGCAGGCAAGCACTGGCAGTATGATTCAGGAGGTTGTGGGTTCAATCCCCACGAACCACCTGGGACACGCTTGGTACCAACCAACCTGGATGTTACTACCTTGGCAGGCTTGGCTTGCTCCTCCCTGTGGGTCCGTATTGGTAAGGTCTTTGGCCATCACAGAGATTCACAGCTGTGTATGTTGTAATGTGTGTGTGTGTGTGTGTGTGTGTGTGTGTGTGTGTGTGTGCTTGGAGGGTGTTGGCCTTAATATACACTGACTCACTGAGGTTACTCAATGGGGGTGGGGAAAGCCGATGAGAAGTGCAATTACTGGCAAAATGCACGGTCTTTGCACTAACTAGCCAACCCGGTGAATTTGATATAAGAATGTAGCTCGGTTTTAAGCCACCAGTACTTGCCCCAGCTATCGGCCGTGGAAAAGAATAAAAAGAATTAGAAACGTTTCTAGTCGGATGAATTTGGGCGCTGCTGTAGTAGCCCGTATGTTTCCAAAAAACGTGGCGATGGTGGCGCGACTCTAGGAAGTACTGGTGGTTTAAAGAGGAAAAAAGCTGCCTACTCCTGGTTCAGGACGTTTTGCTGCGTTCCATAATTAAAATTTAAAAGTGAGGAAATGCAAAAAGAATGGTTTCTTTTCGGAAAGAAACAACGGCAGACGCGGCATGTTTTGCAACCCCAAAGGCAAAATAACTCGCGCCAGCAAAGAAACCACGGGCCAACTCGAAATGAGCAATTGCGGTCCAAACGTATTCGTTGGGCATTTCTTTTTTTCTTTTTTTTGTTTTCCCCTCCGACACCACGGCCGTCGGTACTTCAGTTGCCTTTTCAAACTCGGCGCGGTTTTCTTTACCCACGCATCTTTTTTAAAGTTTTTTTGCCCGTTCAATAAGGTGACATGAGACATGAACTTAGTACCCCTTTCAGAAACTACCATCGTCTTCTTCCTCTTCTTCTTCTCTTTCTTTCTTTGGGAGATATGGGGTCTCGCTGCACTACTCTCCACTCTCCGGGAAATCGGAGAGTACGCGGGGAGTTGTCAGACTCTCCGATTTCCCGGATTTTGGGTCATGGCTGCACTAAGGGCCTCGCCACACAGGCTTTCAAAACGTGAAAACGACAAAAATGTGCCAGGTGCATCTGGCCATGTTCTAGCGGGAAGTTCATTCTCGTTTTGCACATTTCGACAGCCTGTGTGGCGAGGCCCTAACTCTACAACTATCGAGGGTACAAAACGACAGCTCAAAGTCCCCGTTTGTCTGCCCAAACTCGAGGTTAGCTCTCCAGATTTGGAGCAAATCGGCGGTTCCTTCGAAGGTAGAACCGCATAACGGATTTTGCAGGCTGGGCACTCTCCGGCGTCGAAGAGTACAATTCTTTTGTGGTTTCTGACAGCTCTCCGAATTTCTTTTGGGGTTCTAAAGTAGAGTTAGTGCAGCGATGCATAATTCTCCGAATTTTGGCGAAGTAGAGTAGTGCAGCGAGACCCATGATCCTTCTGTTTGTTAAAGGTAAATAAATGAGGAATGAGGGAGAAGGTACGCGAATGAGGCTCGACAATGAACTGTTTCACAAACTGCACTCTTTTAGCTCTCATCGATAGATCTGTGATTCTCTGACAGACTGACACTAACTTGGTTTCACATTTATGCAATCTTATGGGGATTTTCTCTTGCATTTTTTTTTTTTTTTTTTTTTTTTGTGGGCGCCGGGCTGGGGGAGGTCGTTGGTAACTTGGCAGCTGGAAGCTTTGAACTGGAATACAAAAAGGCGGGAGCGAGCCAACCAGAAAGCTTCTGGAGTGTTCCCCTTTCAGGTTTATTGGGCGGTGATCGTCATCATCATCATCATCATCATCATCATCATGGGGAGAGGAAGAATGATGAGCGAAAGAATGCTGATAATGAAAAGAGCTTTGCCAAGGGTGACCCCGCCTTGACGTCGATGGTGGATGTGAAAGTGGAATGCCCACAACTTTCTGAAGGATCCGATTCGTTGCAGAAATCCGGCGGTGCGCCGGCATCGCACAAGTCTACTGAAGTAGCAACTCTCAATGAGCAACGTCTCTCGTCTTCAGAAATTCTCCAGATGTTAAAAGTGAGCGGAAACGCGTGTTCTCGAAGCCCGATGATGTGGTCTGGAGTGCTTGGTCTCACCTATGGTCTGCTTGCATCACGGTATGTTTTCCACCCTCCCCCCTTTCTCACCTGCTTTTTAAAAGTCCTTTTTTGGAGTTTTAACACTCCAGGGCCTAACAATTCCTTATCCCGCCCTCCCCCCTCGTTTTTTAAGTTTTTTTTTTTTTTTTTTTTTTTTTTTTTTAAAGAAAGGGCGACGGCCTTGAGATATTATCATTGAGCTGACCGGCCCCAAGCAATTCATTAGTAGTTGGTTTTACTTGTCAAGTTCCATCATCTGGATTCGAACACAGGTCTGTATTTCAACAGTTCATCGGTGTACCCACTGAGCTAGGCTCTTGGGTTTTAAGTTCTTTTTTGGAGTCTTAGCGACCCCCAATTCCTTAACTCCCCCTCCCCCCTTCCTCTATTGTATTTTCTGAGTTCTATTTTGAATCTTAGACCCCGAATTCATTATCCCCCTCGCCAGGGTGTGTTAGTGGCGGACCTGGCGGTTAGTGCCTTTTTTTTTTTTTTTTTCCCCTTCCGTCTGGCGGTAGATTCATCTATTAACGAGCTGAGTCACCGAAACCTTGCTCATGAAAAGCACAGAGTCCTATTCAATCTGACAGTATTCCCTTTTTTTTTGGGTCCCTTTTTTTTTTTTGGGTAGGACCTCACATCTCTGTTACAGTATTCATGGCAGTCAGACTCTGTGTTCTGGATATCAAGGATTCGAGCTCATGAATCAGATCTGCTTTTTTATTAAACCACCAGTACGCTTCCCAGCCAATTTTCATAAGATGTGCCGTGCATGCAGATGCAGGCCCGTCGGGCAGGATGTACTGGGCCGCTGCTTTGCTGGAAAACCATCCACTAAAATTGGTCCCTTGGCATGTGAGTTGAGGCATTGCCAACCCATTCTGCTTTGAAAGGGTTCAATTAAATTAATAAATTTTGCAGTGAAACGGCACCATGCCACCATGGTACTGTAACAATGTCATCCTTCCCAAATTATGCCCAATGCACCTTCATCCACAGGGATCACAGCTCGCCTTAAGCCACCAGTACTTCCTATTAAAGTTGTGCCCGTTCGTTAGCAATTCACACAATGATAGGAAACGTACGGGCCACAACAGGAGCGCCCAAATTCATCCGACTAGAAACGTTTCTACTTTTATCTTTTTCCGCGGCCGATAGCTGGTCCAAGTACTACTGGTGGTTTTTGGTGGTTTTAGACTTCCTCCTATTAAGGCTAATAAATAAGCTCCGCAACCAAGTTACAGCTCGTTTAACAGTCAAATCATCTCACATGTGTGTACCGCTCCGCCTACTGTTCCTTCCACGTTTCGACTGACTGTCAGTCTGTCACTGTGATGGAAATTTGGACTTTTGGATGGAAAATTTTGGACTTTTGGATGGAAAATTTGTACTTTTCGATGGAAATTTGGCCTGTGTCACTGTGATGAAAATTTGGGCTGTGAAGGAAAAACTTGGGAATATCTATGGTGCGGAGTTAACAAACTTGGGGCCTTGCCACACCACTCACCAAAAGGAAAAGAACATGAATGCATCTTCCTGCAGAAGTCGGAAGTTGGCAAAAAACATCTGTTGCTATGAAGAGTATCTGATGATGAATACAGCCGCCTTCTGACAGTGAGGGAAGATGCGACACAGTGCAAAGTCGAAGTTTTTTAAATTTGATTTGCAAAAGCAACTCCCGCCAACAGATTTGTTTGTGCTGGAGATTCGAAAGCGAAAAAAAAAAGCAGGGGGACATGATTGCATGCAGTCAGGTGCATCTAGGCATATGACTGTGAAAGTGGTCAGATCCATGATCCAGCAAAGTAGCCATAATACGAGGATGGCTTCACCCGCCTCACGCCACTCACGGTAGCAAGCGTGTAACTTGTTCGACCCGCTGGCAGGGATTTGGTAAACGATTTTGTTCGGTGTTCAGGCCTGTCATGATGTGTCGTCAACTACACCAGACCCGGCAGGGCGGATCAGGTCCAAACCTGCGCCAGCCTAGTAGTAGAGCCTACAACATCATGCATGATGCAGTCCACTGCGACTCCACACCTGGATGGCCTGCATCAGGCTGCCAGCTGAGGGCGGATTGGGTCCAAACCTGCTCCAGCCTACCACATGCAGCTCAGACCTGGACAGCCTGGATCAGGCTGCCAGGGCGGATCAGGTACAAACCTGGGGTTACCTGGTGCCCGACAACAAAGATCAGCCTGAGGTTGTGTACCTGGCAAGGAAACAGGCTTTCTGGGCCTGGTCCACTTCTTTGTAAATTTGGAAGTAAGAGCGAGCAGCTGTTATTAAGTGAACAGGGTTGGGTTGTCATTTGGCGGTGAACACGGTTCTCATTTGGCGGTGAACAGGGTTCTCATTTGGCGGTGAACAGGGATCTCATATGGCTTTCCATTGGCTGATGGTGACAACAGGTTCGGCTTTGGGATGCCCGATGCGTTGAATAAAACACTGCTTATGCTAAGCAACATGTGTCTCGGCTTATCAATGATTAGCCTGGGTGAGTGAGCTCATTTCTGTGGGTCAGTTTCTGACTTCATCGCCCTCTGTTAGCGCCCAAATCGAATGGGATTGTGGTTGATGTGTTTGTCATTGCACAAGTAGATTTCAAGATTTGTTTTTGCTCACCCGTAAAATGTGCATGGCACTGCATGCTTATGATGATGCAGCTTACCTCAGCATGCTTGGTATTGGGGGCGCAATGTATGGTTGTTGGTTATGCATGGGGGGAAACTTTAGACAGTTGGGGCCCGCAGTTGGTTGTGCATCGGGGGGGGGGGGGGGGGGGGGGGGGGGGGCGAGGGGGGGAAAGCCGGGAGTCTTGCGGTGGAGGGGAAGGGAGCGGGAGGGACAGTGAAGGAGACGGGGGAGGTGGTCCGCTGTTGGATACTATGAGGACGGGGTTGATTGAGTTAGATTTGGGGAATCCGATTTGTTTTTTTACAGTGTTATGAAGATGTTGTTGTCTTAGAGCTGGGGTGCAAGTGTACTTAAATGCTATGGTTAATATGGGGTTGTATAGACTCAGTCACTCAGAGTCTGGGTTATGCTGTGTTTGAAGATGATGATGGTCGCGTTGTTCTGAGTGTGGGGCCGCCTTTAGTGGCCCTTCACTTTTCATGGGGTGTCACAGTTATCGGTGCATGCCATAAACAGTTTCAATTTGATGGGTGTTAACACTGTTACAGGGTCACTGGGTCAGTCATGGAAAATGTTTGTTAGAAAAAAGTGGAGCCTGTGGAGGATGAACTGTCTGTGTTAACTTTCATCTCCAGGCTCCAGCTAAGAAAATCATTCAGATCAGACCGATTCTTCACTGTAGCTTGTGGGCCATACCTACATTTGTTTTCACAGAACACAGTGCACCCTAACCATGAATGTATGGAAGCTATTAGTCGGGTCGGATACGTTTGTGTGGAGGGCCTTGAGGAGACATTCAGGTTAACTTCCGGCTTTGGGGTCCCACGGGGTTCTACTCTACTATGCTGTGACTGTAAGAACCTCTACCATCTTCACGCGAACAGAGGACCCAGTCACGATCGCTGCATATGGACTGAAAGCTGTACCAAATACTGCTATCATGACTGGGCGTTCTATTCGGGTGAGGACGACAGACCATAGAATGAAGTCATTAGAGCACTATTTTGGTGTGCTGTCTATATTGCTTTGGGAGTTAAAAGTTTGCAGTTTTGATGAACTGGTCTAAGACTTCTCAGGGCATACGCACTGTAGGGCTTTTCCGATTGAATCTGACCTCAATGACGGGCAGATTTTGAGTCCCATTGTGAATGTGCCCAATGTACAGAGTCTAGCAGAATCTTTAAGGCAAAGCCTATGTGTCACATCTGCATCAGAGTGCAGTTTTGCTCTATTTTTTCGAGCTCGTTGAAGGTGTACTTGCATGAGGACCTTTTTTTCGATCTTCTCTCTGGTTGCAATTGTGGTTAGATACATCCAGGGCCTGCTGCAATTCCCTCCAGATACATCCAAAAAAGTCCTGACTGCAAGTAAGCCCGAGCCTTGCGCGTCAATCCAAGGATGCTTGTGTTTGTTGCCCCACACCTCACATCTCTATCTTCCTCCGCTAAGAACGGACTAGGGAAGAGAAGCGCAAAACTATCAAATAGGTTGTCGCACTTGTCGGCACTGCCCATCCTTTGGACACACACATGCATTGATGGGGGGGTGGCTTTTTTCTTCTTCTTTTTTTTGGGGGGGGAGGGGGGNCTTTTTTCTTCTTCTTTTTTTTGGGGGGGGGGGGGGGTGGGGGGGGGGGGGTGGGTGAAACCGTGAAAGAGTTGGGGGGTGTGTGTGTGGTAGGCGGTAGCGTTGACTTCACTCGGCTCTGACTTGCCAATGGATGTGTTTCCCCCAACTTTGCCGACCCCTGCATCTTCCGTCTTCAGGATTATTCACAGCATGCCAAGCCAGTTTGGTTCCCATCAGTTGGTGGACTACAGTCTGGACCCTCTCATTGCGCCTGTGGTGGGCCCCAGCTTCCATCGGATTGATGTCCTATCTGCTGGGGTGCAGAGGTTATGTCCTCAAGGTGGCCTTCATGCAAGTAAGTGTTTTTTTTTGTTTTTTTTCCTTCTCTTTTTTTCCTTTTTCTTTTTGGGAATTAATTTTATCATCATTATGATATAATTATGTATCATTATTTTGCAAGTACTAAGTGACACTGTATCTTAACTTAAATTTGGAGCAACTGCAACCGAGACTCTGCGGCATGGTTTCAGTTTCCTCAAACAAAAAGTCAAAAAACAACACTAATGTAGTGTGAGATGTCGTGACACACCAGTTGGACCTGGACCTGTGCTGTTTTCTTTGCTTAATATTCAGAAGAACTCACTTTCGTTCGCCGCATAGTCAGCTCTTTCATTTTATTTTATTTTCACCCGTCACGGTGGCAAGCCGATTTCCCAAACCTTGGGTACTATGCCCCCACATATGGTCATTTGGGTACAGTAACTATGGTTTGTACATGGAATGGTGTTACCTCCGTTCCTTTCTTCAAGTTGTTGTTTTCGAGTTCAAATCTTCTCGTTGTCTCCAAGGTCAAATCCTCACTTAATTTGATTTAAGCCACCAGTACCTACTGGTAAATGCGGCCGGCGGGCTTAAACTGCTAGAACATGGCCCCAGCCTTGCAGAAAGCGTTTGTCGGCAAGAGGCAAAACTCGGAGGGGCCGTGCAGCCAGGGGTGCCATTGGAAAAAAAAATTGGCGGCCTACGACGTGGTGCAGGTTTCATGCTGACACCCGGGGGGCGATGTGTGGTGTAGTTGTGCTGGTCGGGTCCGTATTCATTCGACCCGGTAGCCAAACTGGTCTGCTGGTCGGGTTCATAGTCCTTCAACCCGGGGGGCTACGAAAAATGCGGTAGGTACTGGTGGTTTAAAGCACCAGGAAGGACGGTTCCCAGCTATTGTTTCAGAGTCGTGGTGGTGGTGCATCTACACGACTCTGCATGCAAGTACCGGGGTGCCATTTCGCTGGATATCCATCCACTGGAAGGCAGAAATAGGCCACATGCCAGGCCCTTTTTGCCTGCCAGTGGATAGATACCCAGTGAAACGGTGGCCCCGTACTTGTCGAGAGTTGCAGCTGCAAGCGGGGAAACGTACGGGTGTTTTTTTTTTTTTTTTTTTTTTTTTTTTTTTTAAACCGACTGGAAATCTCAGCAAACAGATCAGTGAAGCTCTTTTTGGTGTTCAACAGTCACCTACTTAGTCTTTTCTCTGTGGCCTGCCATCTTCACCCGAATAGAATGCCCTGCGGCCCCTGCCTGGTCACGATAGCTGCACCTTGAGCGCTAGGGATACGCATGCCACTACAAGTCCCATCATGATGGTGAACCCTAGTAACTGTTCTTCCCTGTGTTTTTTTTTCAGAGAGATCCTAGCCTTATCATCATCAGATCCCTCTGGTTATTCTTCTTTCGATTCTTGCCGATGTTAATATTTGAACCTAGACCATCTCCAGTTTCCATCCTCAGTAGGTTTAAGACCACCATCCGCTCCCCATACTAAGAATTCTATCATCAACTGGATAAGCTTTTGAAGTCTGATAACAGGTGTTCGCATTCTTATTCAAGTTGAACCTGCTGAAAAAGGACAGCCAACTTGCTCAAAGATAGCCCGCACAATGCGCATATTGCTTTGAGAAATTTGAGGCCATCAAGCAGCGAACGCATACCAGCATATCAAGTTCAACTTGTCTCTATGTCGTAGAATGAAATCTGTGTTGTGCAGATGCATAGATCCCTTCCCAATGACTGATGAGATTCATTTGTCACAAATTGTCAGTGCTTTCCTATTGCTAGGTCCCTTTCGGGGCCATGTGACAGTGTGATCAGAACATGGCGGAGGCAGTGCTTCGCAGCTTCGACAATTATGGTGTTTTAAACTGTTTTTAACTTTTTTTTTTCCTTTTTTTTTTTTTTTTTTTTACAATGTGGTCATGCTTACTATGCGGGGGGGGGGGAAAGATCAATGGTCGAAACTTTCTCGGAAAAATGCAGATTGCTCAGAAAGCACTTCCTGCAACTTTTTTCTTTTTTTTGGAAAAAGGGCCGGCGTTGAGATATTATGATCATTGAACCAACCAGCAGTTGTTGTCGTCGCTAGTAGCTTCAGCCCACTTCAAGTTGATGCAGTCAAACTTAGATTGCTTTTTCGGTTTTGCTAATTTAAGCTGTCTGTGCTTGATTGCATATGATTGGTTGATTTATTTATTGGATGGATCATGGATGCTGTTGACTTTGCTGCAGGGAGCCCTTCCTCAAGGTGTGCTGACATTTGTGTTCGCATCCAAGTTTGACGTCCACTCTGACATCTTTAGCACGGGGTGAGTAATACTGAGTATATTAACCCACATCTAATATAAGTTAGGGGTAAGTTCGGTTGGGGGACAAACGAGTTTGAAAAGGGCAAAGAACGAAAATCACAAGGCTTAGCGGGGAACAAACTTGTGCACCGAGTTCGGAAGAGCAACAAATCACATTTTTAGCCGTGCCCTGAGTATGAAAAGGGCAACAAACTCGTGCGCCGAGTGTGAAAAGGGCAACAAAATCACACGACGTGGGCCACAGCCATTTTCCGATATCGCCATTTTCAAACTCCGCACCCGATTTTGTTGCCCGCACTTTTTTTTTTTCGCCCTTCCAAAACTGAACTTGTGAACACTGCCGGTCCATGCTGGACTTGTTTCTCTAAGTTATATAACCCTTTTCTAAAACCGCACGGTCCGCCAGTACACAGCCCCAGCCTTGCAGAAAGTTTTTGTCGCCACAAGCAAAACTCGGAGGGGCTGTGCGGCGTGGGAGGCTTTTGCAAAAAAAACATCTGCGGCCTCTGAAGTGGTGCGGGTTCCACGCTGACACCCGCGGGCCTATGTATGGTGTACTGGTGCTTTAAACCACGAGTATTTCTGGAAGTCACGGCTGCATGCGGACTGCGGTCTGCCGGGATGAACGTATTGAATTTCATAATTTTCATTCAATTTAAAAAAGATGTCATTCTCACCGAAATGGCTTCTTTGGCCACAATTACGGTGCTCTGTTTGTGCTATCGAGGTTTTTTTTTTTTTTTTTTTTTTTTAAGCTCCATCTATTGGTGGGGAGCAACACCTGCTGGAAACCGGGTCCAGCGTCCCATAGGGCCATAGGTACAAGCATTACTTCACAAATTGGCACGAACTGGGAACCGGGCCCAGCGTCCCATAACGAATACATTCAGAAGATTCATCACTAAAAACCTACTAGAAAAATCCAATTGGCCTAAGAATAGTATTTGAAAATTAAGATGCCGGGGCCATTACCCGACTTCGACTCAGAGATATTGGAGCAGCTCAACAACAATCTTCATGATTTAGAACAAATTTCAGGAACGACACAGGAGAACCCCCCATCACTCCACTTTACCTCACTCCGGCAAGACTGACTGCAGCGGAGCCACCATCTCTGCTGCTGCTATACCATACTCCCATCCTACCAGCTGGCCCACTCACTGGCAGGACGCGTGATAACCCACCCTCTGCTCCTACTCGCCTTATTCGCTATTTTGAGGTTCCTTGAAAAAAACTCAAGACCCCCCAAACAATCCCCTGCTCCCCACTCCAGCAAGACTTACCGCAGCCGAGCCACCATCTCTGCTGCTGCTGTGCTCTATTCCCATCCTACCAGCTAGCCCACTCACTAGTAGGATGCGTGACACTCCACCATCTTTTTCTGAAACTGCAAACGCAGCAGTTCTGTCTTCGTTATCGAAAGGGAGGTCCCGGAAGACCAACAAGTGCAACAGTTCTGTCTTTGTCATCGAAAGGGAGGTCCTGGGTATGTTCTAATGAAGTCAGCTGACCACGGCCGGTACCCATGGAGACTCGGAGTCCGCTCAATGCCAATCACATCCGTTCTCAACCAACCCCATCCGAACCCCCTTCACCCTCCCCAACTTCGTCCTAGTGAAGGGTTCGAAGGACCATATCCTCAGCATGAGCCAGACACAATCCTCATCCTGCAATCTCCTGCCCCCTCGGAGATTCCAGTTTCCGTCATCGAGAGGGTAAGCCAGCGCTGCCTGAGGCCAATCGCACCAGGATGATCCCTCATCAGCCGGTACACATCCGGCAACTAAAGCTGCCCGATGCCAATCGCATCTAATGAAAGATCCCCCAGCCGGTACCCCTCAGACGACCTGATTCAACCCTCTCTCCGTCCTCACAAAGAGTCATCTTGCGCCCTTTGCCCTCCACCTTGAACAGATCCCCCAAAACCCAACAGAACCTCCACTCACCTGTCCCCCCTTCACCTCCCTAACCTAGTAAAGAGTTCAAAAGGCCATGTCCTCAGCAAGAGCCAGACACAATCCTCATCATGCAATCTCCTGCCCTCTCGGAAATTCCAGTCTCCGTCATTGAGGGAGTGAGCCAGTACTGCCTGAGGCCAATCGCATGAGAGTAAACCGTCATCAGCCGGTACCCATCCGACAACCAAAGCTGCCCGACGCCAATCGCATCCAATGAAAGTTCCCCTAGCTGGTACCCCTCAGATAGCCCCGATGCAACCCTCTCTCCGTCCTCACAAAGAGTCATCTCGTGCCCTTGCCCTCCATCTTGGACAGATCCCCCAAAACTCAACAGAACCGCCCCATACGAATTTATGAATTTTGAAGCGAATTTTAGCCAATTATTTGAGTCCACATGCAAATTTCCCTAGGAATATACCCTCAGATGCCCTAAGTAGGACTTTCAACCAATACTACGAAATTCTCAATTGATTTATCCGTCAAGAAATCACTAATCCAGAAGTCCATTGAAATTCAAATGAGAATCAATGATTTTGAAAATCCATAGGAAACCCAATAAGAAAAAACAATCTGATGTCCCCCTGGACTTTTGACTCAGATTTCCAGTCCATTGAAATACAAAGGAGAATCAATGATTTTGAAAATCCATAGGAAACACAATAAGAAAAAAGAATCTGATGTCCCCCCGGACTTTTGACTCAGATTTCCAGAACCAGGGTTCAGGAAATCGTTCAGACCGTAAGTCAAAAAAATACTAATCAGAAAACTTATCGTATGAGCATCTTGGACTATGACATAGAAAGGGTACACGGATAACAAAATTATTGGATTATCATCATGATTGAAACTAACAACTCTGTAGAAGATAGGACCTATGTAGCAAAAAACACACCCATGAATAGGGATGAGAGGAACTTCCGGGAAAATCACGGGAGAACACTTCGAGCAAGGAATATTGGTCATCCCGGAAAGAACAGGATCATGCCAGACAATCAACCTAAAAAGACGAAAAAAGATGATTCGAGGATCATGCAAGAAATCTCTGGTTATTATTAGTGGGAGATTAGTGGGAGATCACTTCAAAATCAACAAATCCTATCCCTTCTTCCTCATACCACCACTTATCTCTACTTACCTCCCACCCTTCAAACCCTACCCCTGCACCTTTGGGGGAGGAAGGACTCCCTTTCTCCCACTGCTAGCTTCTAGGCTTGAAGCAAAACGCCAACACCAAAGGCATAAGCGGCCATTTTCGATTCCTGCAAAAGTCGAAGACAGTGTGGCACCCCCCCGCCAAACCCGCTGAAGAGTCGCCACAGAGGATTCAACACCACCATAGCTGTACGCTCACCATACCCTTACCTACGGTTGAGGAAGAAGGAAGGATATCACCCACCACGTCATCTCTAGGCAGCATCGCACACGACAACACCCGAAATAGTAGCCCATCCAATCAAACTTTACTATGCCGCTGCTCCCATGTCGTTTTTCATCGCCAGCGTTCATTCCCGTGCACAGCTATGCCGCGGTTCGCCCCTCAGTCCGCCACGTGGATGACCAAAACCCATCTTTAATCCGTCAAACAGCGATGCCGTAATCCTTCCCACGACGCTCCCTCCGATCAGCTGTGCTCCCTAGCACCATGCATCGACTTCATTATTAGGCGCCATGCTCCCAATCGGTAGCCTAAGGCTAAAACAACATGTGTTAATTGCCATAGCCATTGCCATAAACCACTGCATGAGTCGCTCCCCTAATCCCGCTGTCGTCCTGTCATATCCTGTCGTTGCTCAGTTCCTTTTCAATATCGCCGACCGCAGTCGCCATACCCACCCGCTCCCGCTACCCAGCACACACGGAACTGGTGCCCGCCCAGGCACACTCATCCCCCCTATATCGAGTTTTATGACCAGGTTCATCACATATTTCCGTGACATACATAGCATCAGGGAGGCTGGAGGCGTCCCAAGTCGTACCAATGATTCAGAAGAACATTGTGTCTGATCAACGAACATTAAACCATCAGTAATTCCTAAAGTTGTGTCGGACTCCATTGAAGCGCCACGATTTTAGGTGATGTACGGGCCACTACAGGAGTGCCCAGATGCATCCGACTAGAAACGTTTCTACTCCTTTTTTTTCTTACTTTTTCCACAGCCGATAGCTGGGCCAAGTATTGGTGGTCTAAAGCACCACTGGCAGTACACCATACATCGGAGGCCGCCCATTTTATTTTATTGTTTTGACAGCGCTCCGTGCCGTGCGGCCCCTCCTTGTTTTGCTTGTGCCGAGAAAAACTTTCTGCAAGGCTGTGGCCGTGTACTGGCTGTTTAAGCCTTCACGTACTGAACTAAATGCACAGTCACCCCGGGCTGCAGGACTTTTTCCAAGTGACATGTGCACAGTGCACGTAATTGCGGTCACATGCATCCATGATTCTATGCGCGTTTTTAAGCATCTGCAGAATGGAAAGAGATTCATCTGTCTGTCGTGAAGTTCTGGGACAGGAACTAAAAGTGGAACGGTACAGAAAAAGAGAAGAATCTGATCAGCACGGGATCAGATTGTTTGAAAAAGAACGGAGGGGGAGGAAAGATAAATTTTGCAATGTCAAATTGTTGTGCTGTCAGTCTTGTGTTATGGGGGAGAAAAGGGGGGGTATTCTGGGAGGAATAACAAGCCTCTTTTTTTTTTTTTTTAATTTAATGCTGCCGCTTCAGTCTAATTTGTGGGAAAGGACGCGTCTTCAGTCTGATTTGTGGGAAAGGACGCGTCTCTGCGATCAGACTCGCTATCTTTCACACTTTTACATGCATGCAAACAGGTGCGCAGCAAACTGGCGACAAGCGCCCACCCGAAACTCAGAGATATGGTAGCCAAGAACGCAGTTCAGGTACAAGTTCACTTCAATGGCTATGGGCGACACAGCGCCCACACAACTCTCTGTTCGCACACACAGGATCACCCTGGATATCCCACACGCGATACTCTGTACACACTACACTCTACGTACAGCTATGGTGGCTATGGCCGCTTCTAACC